ACTTTATTCTGACTGAACTTTTACCATTTCAGTTTGAAATGATCTGGTTATTGTTGTTTTTCTACATTTTTCAATTGTCACTTTGCACATCAAAATATGCCCTCAAGTACAAAAAATATGATAATTATTATAAATATTATAACCTAAATATTTATTTTTTGACTCAACGAGTCAGTGATTATGAAATCATCTAAATGCTGACTAATACTAGTGCCATGCATTACAAACCTGAACTTAGGAAACACTAGTATGTTTGGCTCCTTAAAGGATAGGGTTGTTTTGTAAAGTGTCTTTTTTATTTTATTGTCTTTTTTAAAATACATTATTGACCATGAGTCTGCAATTAAAGTATCTCATCATCATCATCATCATCATCATCATGTCCACTTTAAATGTAACATTTAATACATTAATCTACTTTTTCAGGTTTAGAGCCAAACTTGACATAATTGTTTGAGTAATTTGTTTTGTTTTTAATTAATTAACTTGGCATATTCAGTATTTTAGTAACTTAGAGAATAAAATAATTCACCAGACCTGATCATGTATAAATGCTTCTCATTGGTGCATGGACACAGTTTATCAGCAGAACTGCCTATGGTGCATTTATTTCCCTAATTAATAAATTCAGGAGTGTTACTTTTACCTGAATAAGATATCAATCCTCCTTCTACTGGCTAATCAAATGATTCAGTCACATCGGAGCAGAGACCGGCCACACGGTTGTGACAAATCCAATGTATGCACCTGTGAATGTGCTTATAGACTCTGGCAGGTCGGGTGTTTGTGTCGTAGAAGAGATCATACATTTTTCAGCCTGCAGCTTACTGGGGTCTTAAGAAGTACATTGACTATTTCCTGGGTTATTTATATCCGTGGCATTAATGTTAGATGTGGATTGTCCTGTCCTGAGAGCAAGGACGTCAGAGTGTATGGACATTTAGACTTTATTTGTTCTGACTGAGTGATTTTAAACTGCTGAGGATGGACATGAACAGATTCTGTCAGCTGCTTTGATGTACAGTAAAGTGGTCCTTAAAGCCCAGCCTGCCTTCATACTAAATTAAAAGCTGCCAACTTGGTTAGCGGCAGACTTTTAATGTTGCACCAAAAAAATGCACTTAAATTGTAGGAGGACGTGAGTTTTGTATCTTTGTGGCATCACTGAAGCAAACTAAAGGAATCCAGTTAGCATCTTTTCTTTTCTTTTTTTCTGGACCAGCACAGCAATTTTGCTGCTTGACTGACAAAAATTTTTTTTTTGTTGAGAATTAAAAGGGCCTGATAAAGAAAAATAAATGAAAAGAAATCTGTTTTGACAACAGTGGAGCAATCTTTTGTATTGCATTGAATATTTGCACAAATTTTGCAGAAAATAATGCCGCTTTCTTTTTTACCATTCAGCTATGACTATTTTATTTTATTTTGAAATGTTCTGTTAAATAATATTTTTTAAGAAAAGAAACAAAAAAGCTGTTTTTATTATAAAGGCACAAAAACTGAGAAAATTCTAAACTAGAAGCATTCAAAGAGTGCAAACCTCCGCCAAGGCCAATTTCCCCCATCCTGCAATAGTGTTAATGCGCAAAAGGAGAGATGGAAACATAAGTTCTGATGTAGCGAACATTTAAGCAGGCAGTATGAATGGGATTTCTTTCTGGTGGAGACCAAAGCGAAAAAACAAGTCAGAGACTCGTCACCCAACGTTATTCATCCACAAACTGGTCCCGGATTAATCTCCTAAGTTTTTATCAGTCAGATTCTACCATGTAAAATGTCTGTTTTATCCCCTTACATGGGTTTTTAGTGGTTTGACAATCTTTATAAACTGCTGCTTCCTGGTACAGACAGCTCTGCAAGCAACTCGCCTCTTTAAATTTTGTTTTATTTTATTTTATTTTGAAGCGAGTGGTTGAAGCAAAATACGGCGTCTGAGCGCTTTCATCACAAACACTCCCACAAACTTCTGACCAATCACACAATAAAGTTCTTATATGAAGGAGGTACCTGACATGGTTGATCAGCTGTACCAGCTTTGTCTCGGCTGCAGCAGGACCCCCCCCCCTGTCGGTGTCCTGTTGTTCTCGTAACGTGGAGAGAATCACATTTCTTTTTCTACGTCTCCGGACAGCATGTAACATCACCGATACTAGTTGATAACAGAATAATCCCGATAGTAGACATCCTGGTAGGTGTAGTCCCAGCGAGTTTGCGACTTCACTTCCTGTTTCCTACAGACATGCATCTGATGTAATGAAACTTTGTGTAGCCTGGCTGATTCGCTTGAATTAAAAGAAAAATTCCTGTATCCGCGTCGTGATCCAGAACATCACCAACATTTAATGGTATGTTCCTTTGGCCAATACCCACATGTGGTAAAAATTTCATGACAATCCGTCCACAAGTTTTTGAGTAATTTTGTCCACAGACAGACAGACAGACAGACAGACAGACA